ACCCCAACATAACCCCAATAAAACCCCAACATAACCCCAATATGACCCTAATATAGCCCTAATATTGATGGTAACTAAGGATGGCTTAAGGTGCGGGACTTAGGGTTCAAGGTGAGGGGCCTCTGCAAGCTCAACCCAGATGAGCTAGAGTCGAAACTCCTAGTATACCCCTTGCTTTAGCCCTATGGTGTAGGGTTTAGGGTTTATAGTCTAAACTCCTAGTACACCCCTTATTTTTTAGCCCTATGGTGTAGGGTTTAGGGTTTATAGTCTAAACTCCTAGGATCCCCCTCAAAAATGGAGAATCAAATGGAAAATTAAATGGAAAGTGCTATATATGTATATATATATATGTATAGATAGGCTTTAAATAGGGTTATGTAGGGGATTATGGGGATTATAGTCTAACCTCCTAGTCTCCCCCTTAGTAACCCTTATGGTACTCCCCTGTATAACCCCTTGCATATCCCCCCTTGAAGGAGTTTACACTACAGCCTAGATAGGCATTTTAAGAAGGATGGCCCGCTTCGGGGCTTTGGGCGAGCTTTTAAGTTCAGCGTTTCGAGTTGCAAGCTTGTTGGATCACGGGTACTTAAAAAGAGCCCTATGAATCCCTAAAATCCTAAACCCTGTACTCCCCAAAAACCCTAAACCCTCAACCGTAAACCCTGTACTTATAAGCACAGTAAGCCTACTTATCACCCCAATCCAGCCTTCGAGCAAGGAAGGGTCAAGGGCCGTGGGTATACGCTTCTGAGCCACCGGGAATGGGCAGCTTACGGTTTAGGAGTTAGAGTCGTTTAGGATTTAGGCTCTAAGGTTTAGGGTAAAGGAACAGGGGACCCAAAACGGGGCCACAATTCCGACAGCCTACCATGTACGGTCTGAAAAACCTTCCAAAGGTCTCAAACTTCGTGGCTTTGCCCAATCCGTACCTTCCACATATATCCCCACAGAAGTTTCAATCTCATGTTCCATGCGATTTTCCATTTGATTCTCCAGTATTGGGATAATATCCCTTAACTGTAAACCCTACCTTACCCTTATATAGACCTAGAATATCATCCCTATACAACCACCCAAACCAGACCATGCATCCTAACTCCTTAGCCCTGAATCCTACATGGGACGCACTAAACCCTGAACCGCTGAGCCCTGAATCCTACATGGGACGCACTAAAACCTGAACCGTTTACCACCCTTTACCCTTTACCACCCTAAAACCCCAGAGATACCAAGGAATGAATCTGCGACTTCAGCTTTCGTAGGCCCTAAACCCTAAATCCTAAACCCTAACCCAAACCCTAGTTTCCAGACTTTGGCTGACCCACCTGCAGACGCTCCTGCTGAATGTCCGGGTGCTCACTGACCTGCCATTTTAGAGGAGACTATGGGAGTTAGAGGGGATGTATACGGTTTAGGATTTAGGACGATTTAGGGTTTAGGGCTTAGGGCTGAAGGTTTGGATGAGGGATTGGGGATGTCTCAAGATAGCGGCGACAAATCAAGACATACACTGTGGATGGAGGTAATCTTGTACCACCTACCGAGTATTATGGGGCTCTAAAGAGGTACAAATGTCTCCATCCACAATAAGGGGTTCCCCTGTTGGTTTCCATGTGATTCTCGATTATTGGGCTATCATCCCTCAACGCTATGATCTCGGTGTATCACCCCATATGACCGTGAGGGTCAGCTTGAGGGTCAGTCCCCTCTCGACTACATATGCACGTATCACAACACAAGGGCGGTTGCTTTACTTCTTTCAGCCATGCAGTAGCATACTGCTCGGACATTCTCAATACAAACATGGACATTAAATCAGATGTCCTAAATCTTAAACACCAAGACCCCTCAACCCTAAACCCCTCAACCCTAGACCCCTCAACCCTGAATCCCTAAACCCTGAACCCTAAACCCTGAGTCCCAAAACCCTGGTTCCCGAAACCCTGAATCCCCAAACCCGAACCCAGGTGCGGAAGGCGGTAGGCTTGGATGTCATGTTATGGATTCCCCTACAACCCCCCTAGGTTCTCCTTTTCCTAACCTTAACTAGCCCCGGCTGCCTCTAAATAAGCTCAATTCAAGGGGAACCCGCTTGGGATAAGTATGGAAGAGGTGGGTGGTTACGGCAACCCACAACCTTTATGCCGGTGCCCAAAAACGGAAGCCGGCATATGCCGGCATGCTCATGATCCAGAGCCTGGTTGTGGGAGCCCCTAAAACCTCAACCCTTAATAGTAGTTTCCATGTCCGCTATAGAGTCCCTATATAACCCTATTCAAAAGCCATAATTTAAGAACTTGTTGGGTATCTCTCCATGAAAACCCATCAAGCCATCATCTCTAGCTATTAGGTCGGCCTACACCCAAAGGAAGATGGAGTCTTGAGGATGAGGATCCCAGGACAAGCAGGAGTCATGGTGTCCGTGTCAAAGGTTTAGAAAATAGTCAGCCTGTAGGCTAGCTTCCCAAAATGGTGGGGTGGGGGGAGAGGGGCCCAACATAGACCCAAAAAATCGTGTAATCCTCATTAAGGGGACCCTAAGAAAGTATCCCTAGTTTTGGGAAACTACTATATCTCTCAATTGCTATAAGTAGAATTACTAGCGGGCGCGGAGTCATCTCGATGCGGCCACATGGGCATTGCCAAGACTTAGGCATCCATCGTCTCAGCCCCATAAGAACGCAAGCCAAGAGAAATCATGCGCGGCTATATAAGCGTGAGCCCCAATGTTGAAAAGGCTTACACATCTGAAGCCTAAACCCTGAACCCCAAACCGTGAAACCCTGAACCCTACAACCTATGCCCTCAACTCAGCCTCTTCTCCCTCAGCCGCGTCGGGAAGGAGCGGCCTCTGGGCAAAACGATCCCCACACCAGGCAGTGCATAAAAGGGAGTTGATTGTTTAGGATTTCAGTTTGAGGGGTTAGGGCTTAGGGTTTTTGCGAGTGTTGGTGTGTGTCCAACATGTCATACTTCCTGCCAGCACCCTCCCCTAAAAGCAGAAATCCCAAATCAGCAACATGTGTGAAGGGCTCTAATTTCAGGGACACTACCAGGTGGCCAATTCTCAGGGCAAATACCTCTGCAGGATGCTGATACGCCTACCACGGTGGTTCCCTCTTGCGTTTCGGGCAGTAAAGCATAGGTGGAGTTGTACAGGATGGCGTTTCCCAAACAAGTCCCTCTTCTCAATGCCCAACCGAACCTCCGGAAAAGTCTCCAAGCACAGACCCTAAACCCTAAACCCTCAACCGTAAACCCTAAACCCAGAATCCGCTCACCACTTGAAAAAGAAACATCAGCGGCTCAGGGGCTCCAGAAGAGTGCTTTCGGTGGATACTAGAAATCCTGCATGACCCTAAGTACCTTAGGGTTCAGGGTTTAGGGTTTTTGGGGAATAATGGTACTATAGTATAGTAAGGTCATGCAGGATTTTTAGTATCAACAGTTTCCGACCAATCCAAAGCCCTCTTATGGTACATAGATGCAAACACCATCTTAGCCAGCACAAGGATTTCTCAGTGAGAGGGGTACGAAGATGCATGCACATTGTGAAAACACTATAGGGAGCCCCTTCGGCTTTCTAGAGGCTTTGATCTTGAAACGCTCCCACTAGCTTCCTTAAGATGGATTGCTGTTGAAGAACTCAAGTTGAGGTACGATAATTCCGCAACCCTGTTATCTACTATATACCCATACTATGGTAACTTATCCTAAGTTCCTTAACAGCAACCCTACACCCCCTAAACCCCCTAAACCCTAAACCCCCTAAACCCTAAACCCTTTACAAAGTCTACAACAAGCGGAAAGCCTACAGTGCCTGCGCCTTGTCAGCCAACCCATGAAGCTGCGCGTGAAAGGCCAATTTAGGTGGACCCCCCACCCAGTAATAGTGACTATAGGGGATAATAGGGAATATATTAGGGTCCTCCTATATTCCTATTATACCACTATTACAGGGTGGGGGGTCCTCCTAAGGGCCAATAATGGAAAGGAAAATGGCTGGAAGCTGGGGGCTATATTATAGGGTTTATAGGACTTCCCCTGTATTATGGGGGTTATGGGAATTCCCCTACACAATAATAACGGCCATCGTCTTGAAGTCTGTTTGCGGCATCCTATACTACATCATAGTGATACCAGGAACCGAAGGCTAATCATGTAGGTTTCTAGATTACCTAGGTTGCAGTGTGACCATCATCCGATGCATCACCCAATTCTCGATACCCAGCGTCCAATCGCATAACTTGGCGCCGAACGGTGGAGGAGGTGAGCAGAGGATTAGGTCCTGATTGCTTCCAGATAAGGCAGCCTAAACCGTGACCCGAGTCACACGGCTTAGGGTTTAGGGAACCCTGAACTGGATCATGAACCCCAACCCTAAACTCTTTAGACTAAACCCCATAGACCGTGAACCCTTAGCTATTATTATCCCTAAATGTTCAAAGTAGACCCTAAGCCCTACTAAACCCCAAACTGAATCCTGAACCCTCAACCCTAAATTGAAGGCGGTATTTCCTGGTCGACTATACCTTATGGTAGTTTTCATACATAGGGGCGCCACAAAAATTGCTTAATTTTCATTCTACGGACTCTCAACAAGGGACCCCTCCTTTCCATAAACCCTGATCCCTATAAACCATTATACAATCCCAGTCTCCATTTCATGTTCCCTGTTCTTTTCCATCTGGTCCTCCATGATGGAAGTCGAATTATCCCTATGTGACCCCACATAGCCCCATCTCCACATGACTCAATATATATATATATATGTATACATCCCTACATAGCCCCCAAATAACCGCATATATCCCATAAGACTATACATCCCTACACAAACTCTTTAAACGAAACCCCTTAGAAGCCTATACAAGCCCACATCGCCCCATTTACCCCTGTATATCCCTACATGACCCTATGTAAACCCACACAACCCTCTATCTATCTATCTATCTATCTATGTATCCACTATCTCTCTCTATAAATATACATATATACACACATATATGTATACGGATCCCTCATATACCCCTATGTATCCCCACCTTATGTAACCGTATATAAACCCTCGCAAGGAAACCCCTTATAAGTCCAGGACTCGACCAGCCCAGCCAGGAACCAGGCATGGGCCTTCGGAGCCTGGGCAAAAGGCTTGAGGAGTTTTGGAGGGTTCAGGGTTTAAGGTTTTCTTTTTGCGGACCTTTTCTCCAAGGGTTTAAGGTTTAGGTTTGAAGGTTTAGGGTTTAGGACTCTGTAAGTAGGTTGAAAATGGAGATAGTTGGGGTTACTAGATGGGTTCTAGGGGCTATAAGTATACTTACTAACCAATTGAAACAGGGATAGACTTAGGGGGTATACTCATGAAGTTCCGATTGCTTCATAGGCATCATATAGGGGGTTAAGGTCGACAAAAAAGCAAAATGATTCCAGGGGATATCCCTGTTAGGGCGTGAGTCTTAGGGTTTAGGCCGTAGAGAATAAGGGAATCAGGGCTTCAGGGGCCAGGAGCTTACGTCATGTCTCGGTTTGAAGCTTAATGGGTTGTGGACTCCAGGATTCATGGGGCTAAGAAGTTTAGCGGTCGCGGGTGTTTAGAATTTACGCGTTGAGGGCTCTAATTTGGAGGCTTGGAGGTTGATAAGTTGAGGGTTTTGGGGTTTAGGGTATAGTCCCACTTAAGTAGATAGAATGTGCCTTAGGGTATCTTGTAACAGAATCCCCATATACCCCATATTCTATCTACTTAAGGGGGACTATAAACCCTTAGGCTTCACTCAGCTCCGTGTGCACAGCTTGCTCCATGCCGAGATCCGGACTGCCTCCTTGGAAGTTGCCTTCCAGGGTTTAGGGTTTAGGGTGTACGGGTTTAGGGTTTAGGGTTTAGGGTCGGGGTCCTGCCCCCACCCATTAACAGTCTATAACAGGGGTCATATTTATTAAGGGCTATATATATTGGTATTATGAATATTATCCAACTGTTAATGAGTGGGGGCAGTATCCAACTAATAGTAGTAATGATATGGTTGTAATGATGATCATATCCATAATACCAATGGTGATAGTAATAATAGTGGGAATAACAACAATAAAGGTAGTAATGATGAGTGACGTTGGTCGCAAGTTCTCAGGCGGCTATTCGATGCATCTAGGTTGATAGCTAGCTGCATTTTGACGCATGATGGTGTCAAGGCTGATAGCCATGGCAGCCGATACCGCTCAATCCCTCTAAACCCTAAACCATCAGAAAACCTTCTCAGCATGTCTCTACAGAAGCTCACCCTTCCCCAAACACGGTCCCGGCAAGCAGTCACAAGAGCGGAAGCGCTCAAGCATTTCGTTGTTGACAATCATGTCATACAAAGCTGTCCAACTCAGCACAGAATTGAAGACTTCAAGAAATGAACATGATCATAATGATCTGAATGCCTGGAACCCAGAAACGGCCCTGAACCCGTGGAATCTCTCAACAGCGAACCTCAAAACCTGGAACCCCCAGACCTCTACGATTCTGCACTACAAACAAAAGCCCTATCTTCAGTGAAACCTTTGGGTCCTCCTTGAAAAGATATGTCTACTCAAAGCAATACAAGGCAATACCCTTGACCATTCGCAGGAAGCCGCAGATTCCTGTCTGTCCCTACATCATCCCCCCCCTTTTCAGAAACACCCACATATCAAGATGACTGAAAACTCTCGAGGATCGTCATGGCCTTGCTCACAGAGGCCAGATGTCGGAGTAGCGCCGCAGCCTGGACTGTGTCTTTGTCGTTGGGGTTGTAGGATGTGATTCTACGCCCCAAAAGCTCCTACACACCACTCTCAATACACTGTTTCGGGTTGAGGGCCTATGAAGACTTCCGTGACTTCGTATAATTGCAGTTGACATTTCAAATAACATAAAGAAAATGCCACGCATGTAGCTGTTCTTGCTCCTTTTCGCGCTGGTATCACACAAGTATCGAGCTTGCATTTACACGTATCGCTGTGTTGCCTTCGGTGAGCCGTCACAAGTGGACAAGGAGGTGGAAAGAATGTGGGCTCTAGGATTCGGGATGTGGGGGTTTGCACTCTTGTGCTGGTGGGAAGCCAACTGACTTCCTGGCGGTCTTGCAGAAAACATTCCAAACAGTGCCCGAAAATGCCTTCAGCGAAGAAACGCTGCATACATCCATGTAGAGGGCTGGGATTGGGCACAGTGGGAAAGCACCTGCTACATCCAACATGAAAACTGAACAGCTTGAGAAATAGTCTGAGACGCAGGACCCCCCCTTTCAAGAACCGACGACTGATCAAATGCGGATAAATGCCTGCAGAAAGAACCTGAGCCTTACACACCATGGGTCACCCGACAAGAGATGTCCAATGCTGTGCGTGTTTTAAACATATTTGCTCGCCCAAACTAAAATGGAGTCCCACGCAACGCCCATCTTAAGTTCATGTTCCCTTGTTGTTCCACGCCTTTTCTCTGAAGGCCAACAAACCCCCGGAATGTCAAGGCGCTATACTCCTTTTTGGGGTTTCCATGTTTGCTGGGGGAAGGATGGCCCAAAAGTGAACCTTGAACTCTGGCCTTCGCGGTTGGGCCCGCCCATTTGCCCATGAAGCCATCTGGGCAGGCAGGGCACCAAAGGGTCGTGCCTGCCTGGCTTGAGCTCGGCTTAACCATGCTTAGCCGTGAATGCGGGGGATGGGCTTAGTAAGGACCCCCAAATGACTGTGAAAAGGGCTACACTGGGAATGTTCATTTTGGAACTGCTCACCCAATCCCTACTAAGCAAAAGCAAGTAGCACTGTACAACAGGAACAAACATGATGAGGCCTGGAACTTTTAAAACTCCTTACTACAAATGCTGCTGCTAAAGGTCCTGTACCTGGGGTTTTGGGTTACCTGGGGTTTTGGGTGGCTCCAAACCCTAAACCACTAAACCCCAGATTACATGCTGAACCCGAAACCTTACATGTTCATACCCAACACCGAAACCCGATTCCGTATGCGTGGGAACGGCCAACGCAGCCCAACCCTGATCAAGATCAGATCCCAAGTTGCCACTGAACTCGTCGCGCCCTTTTTAGGTTTTAGGGTTTAGGATTTAGGTTTTAGGGTTTAGGGTTGAACAGGCTCATAAAAATTGGTAAAAAGGATATGAAGTAACGGGAAATATGCTACTGCCATGGTGGCGAACTGGAGAACCAAATGACAGAGCAACATAAAAATGAAAGGGGCAATGGGATTCCAATGCGGTTAACAAAGATAAGAGCTTCCAACAATTAGAGGACCAGCGTGGAACGAAATCAAAGATTTGCAGCTGCGTGCGCTTCTGAAATTACAAAGAGAAAAACAGAAATTGAAAACAACGTAGGACCTCCAGAAAGATCTCAATTGGCCGACGCTGAAAACACCATCAGCCGTGGGAGGAAACGCAAGTTCAAGGATCAAGCACGTGCAGGCGTGGGACGAAGTCCACATCAAACGAGCTGCTTGACCAGTGCTAACACTGGAGTTACCTTTTTTATTAGGATCATGCATAATATACTGTAATATACAATAATCTACTATAATATATACCAGAATATACAAGTATATACCAGTAACATTGGAGTTGCCTGTTACCAGGTTCATGTTTGGAACCCCAGCAACCCACTGCCGGCATGACCCCAGGCATGCAGCCAATGGCATTAACAGCCGCCTGGAGACTGTTGGGGGTGGATTTAAGGCCTAGTTGGGTTTATGGGAACATATTGGGCTTGATGGGATATGGGGGATTATAGAGGGGATATATAGGGGATTGTATAGGGTTGAGGGTTTAGGGTGATTCTTACGTATGGTTTGAAGACTTGGGAATCAAATGGACAAGAACATGAAAACTGAGTCTAAATATAGACTTTTACAGAGGTCAACACAGAATTTGAAAATTTTGACTGGGGGCTACCACTTCTTTGTATCTCAGAAGCCACATACTCCCACATGAGCTATAGTCTAAACTCCTAGTATCCCCCTTTAACAACCCTGATAATAATAGTCCCCTATAATCGTCCCCAATATAACGCTCGTTCAGGAGTTTAGACTACAGCCCGCATCCTAAAAAGATGCCCAACCAGAAGACGTTGGAGCGAACTCGCAGAAGGTCCTGAATCTGAACGCAAAATTAGAGACCCCAAAAATATTTTTTAAAGCCCATTCCAAGAGCTTACGCCACTCCTTTATTGCCCAGACGGAAAGAAACCTCTTGACCTTGGATTGAAGAAGTCATGCCTTAAGTCGTGCAGGGGGTTCGTAAAAAGGGGTCCGTAGGCATTCTAAGGGCATATGGGGACTTACAAGGGGAAGGTGGTGGTCCCTGAAAGGGATTATGATGCGGGTAGTTTGACAAGCAAACATTGCAAATCTTGACATCCACAAGCACTAAACACCTCCCCAGCCCCTAAACCCTAAACCCTAAACCCTAAACCCTGAGACAGAATGATATTGCAGAAGAGAGCCTCTGAAGCTCATCAACCGCTTGAACATACTGGTGCTACGTAGGGAAAGACGGAGCGGAGCACGCTCAAGGTAAAGCCCCGCGGTTTAGGGTTTAGGGTTTAGGGTTTAGGGTTTAGGGTTTGAGGTTGAGGGATTTACTCTTAACTTTGAACCCTGAATCAACCCCAAACGCCAAGCCCCTCGAACACTAACCTGCCCAAAACACTCAACAAAGCCGACAGCTGAAGGCTAAACCCTGAATAGTAGCTTCCATTTCCTTTCCATTCCTTCAATATAACACATCTCCATTCCTTCCATATTGACATACATATATATATATATAGAATCCCTATATGATCCCTATATAGTCCTTATATAATCCCCCAAATCCTAAGCCCTAACCATATATTCTCCTATATAACCCTATATGGGCCAGAATAATCTGGAAAACCGAAGTATCGGAGAGCCTGCCAGGCCGGGCCACTACAGCGCTCGCCTGCCTTCGAATTGCCAGCTGCTAAGGGTTCAGGGTTTAGAACTTAGGGTTTAGGGACATGAAGTTTCATTGGGGGACACGGTTTTTTAGGATGGGGGCGGTGCGGAATGAAGGAATGAAACGAAAAAATGGAAGCTACTATGAGGTTTAGGCTTTTGGGTTTGGGCGTTTAGACTAGGGAAG